TGCTGAAGCTGGCCCGAACCACTCCGTACTACAAACGCAACCGTCCTCACATCTGCTCCTTCTGGGTGAAAGGAGAGTGCAAGAGAGGGGAGGAGTGTCCCTACAGGTACAGATACATCTTAAACAGTTGATCTGTTCACCACAGCTCCCTTGGGGTTCAAAGAACAGGAGATCCTGCAGTGGGCAGGAGACTCAACACTGTGATTGGGCTCAGGGTGAAACTTGCATCCAGCGCCAGCAAATGAAGCTCTGTGGTGGCACATTTGTTAGTGAGCCATTGGCTGCAGGGTTTGCCAAAGCAGTGACTGCAGCTCTCCTCTTGTGTAGTTCATTTTTCCCCTTCGTGGCGTCAGTCCCCTCAACCAGAGATCTTTGTGTTTGAACAAGAGGCCGTTTGAAATCCAGCTCTTGTGTTTTGTGGGGCTCGAATGTTGAGCTGTCAGAAGTGCCATTCATTCAGAACTTGAGGCAGTCCTGGCTGCAATTCAAGTTCTCAGGGCTTTTTGTTCCATTTTGGCGTGTTTATGTGAACAGGGTTAAGGATATAAGTGACCCGAGGGCTTGAGAAGGGGAGGTGGCAGCTACAGCCATTTTAATCCACGCAGCTGTCACTGGTGTTATAAAATGCTTTGCTTGCTGAACCTTAGACATGAGAAACCTACAGATCCAGACGATCCTCTGGCTGACCAGAACATCAAAGATCGTTACTATGGAATTAATGATCCCGTGGCTGATAAACTGCTGAAACGAGCATCAACCATGCCTCGTCTAGACCCCCCCGAAGACAAGACTATTACTACACTGTATGTTGGAGGGCTTGGAGATACCATTTCTGAATCGGATCTCAGGTGTGTTGGTGAATTATATATTGCCCTTGCCTTTTTGTTTGACACTTTGGTATCTGCTCATCTTCCAGTGAGGAAATCTCTCTTGCAAGGAACAAAAATAAACCTGGTTTTCAGTTTTCCTTAATGGGGAACTGGTTGGTGGGCAAGTGCAGGGGAGTACCAGCTTGTTGGAGAACAGATAAACAGGCACATTTCAAATGCTTTGATTTAAAATTTATTTATTTAAACATGAATCACCCTTCTGAGCTGTTGGGCATACTGTGCAACCCTTTTTACAAGGAAGTCCCGTAGCCTCTAGCTAGCTGCTAAGAGAAGCTGTAGAGTTTTTATTGCTCCATTATTGCACAGAGAAGCAATAATGATTAATTGATCGATTATTAATTTCTAATGCTCAGTTTGAACTGGGGATGGAGAAGAGAAAGCATACCTATTCCACCTGCTCTGCTCTGTACCCTGTGACTGGGAGGAGAGGGGTATCATCGTGATTTTCCCCTTCCCCCCGCAGAAATCACTTCTACCAGTTTGGGGAGATCCGGACGATAACGGTGGTGCAGAGGCAGCAGTGTGCATTCATCCAGTTTGCCACCCGCCAGGCTGCAGAGGTGGCTGCTGAGAAATCCTTCAACAAGCTCATTGTCAACGGTCGCAGGCTCAATGTCAAGTGGGGAAGGTGAGTGTGGGGGGAGGAAGCCAGGAGGTTACTGCCCACAAGGTTCTGCTCCCAGTTTATTGTACTCTTGATTAGCAGGATTGGATATTATGGTGGAGTAGATATTTGATTGGTAAATAGTTGGGGTCCTCTTACAGCTTGGCTTTGTTTCTGCAGCGGGATGTGGGTTGGAGATGACACAAATAGTGTAAGAGATTTCCTGGCTGAGGGTTATGGATGGGTTTCTGTAGTTTTGCTCCTAGTCCATCTCCTGTAAGGACTGTTTGCACACTTTGTACCACCTGTCTCTGATGTTTTGAGTTTTTCATCTTTGGCCTGAAACAATGGGTCTGGATTAGATAGGGTGAAACTACTGTCTTACAAATATTTCCTTATCCCACTTTTTCTCATCCTTGTTCTCAAACTTTGGTCCGTTTCCCAGATCCCAGGCAGCAAGAGGAAAAGAAAAGGACAAGGAAGGTACTACAGAATCCGGGATAAAGCTGGAGCCAGTTCCGGGACTTCCTGGTGGTAAGTGAATTGTTTTCATCTCTGAAACACGTCATGCTGACCTGCTTCCATGAGTGAGGCTAGTGTTAAATTTCTGGGAGCAGTGACAGTTCAGGATGGTAGAGGCAGTGGTGAGCCCAGAGCAGTTGCAGTAGCTTTGCAGCAGATCCAGCTGGGGTGGGAGATGAGCTTTGTTTAGAAGCAAATCCTGGATGAAAAGAGAGTTCTTTATGTGATGACTGAAAAGTTAAAGCTCAGTTCAAGGTACTTAGGTCTGAGACGCTGGCAGCCCATGCTTTTAATGTTTTCCAAATTCACTGAGCGTTGTATGATGGAAAAAGCAAAGCTGGTTTTGGGTGAAGAAAACCAGTGACTGGAATTTCAGGGCAGTCCTGCTCTCACGGTTCAAAGGTGGGATGGTAGCAGCAGTTTGCCCTTGTGAAAGCACGCACTGTGCCCCCTCTCTGAAGGAGACACCTCTGCTTGTCTTGCATCTCCATAACCAATATGTACTTCTTCTGCAGCTCTCCCCCCTCCTCCAGCTGCAGAAGAGGAGGCTTCTGCAAATTACTTCAACCTACCTCCAAGTGGCCCCTCAGCTGTGGTGAACATTGCCCTGCCACCTCCCCCTGGCATCGCTCCACCGCCGCCTCCAGGTACTTGTGTTTCCCCCTCGAGTGGGGGTGTGGAACTCGGTGTTAGATGGTCTGTTCCTCCTTGCCTGGCCATGCTGCAACTGATGCATGCCCTGAGCTGATTTTCCTCATCCCTGATCACACAGTGTCAACTGATGATCTAAACTGAGCTGTCAGCACAGTTTAATTAAGCTGAGCTGCCTGTTGTGGTAGGTATTCACTTGCAAATTCCCAGGCACGGAGATCCCCGTTACTGGTACTGAGACCTACTCAGTGCTTTTGCTGGCTATGTAAATGCCACATTAACCCCAACTTCAAAGGGTAATTTTGCAGCTAGTTGACTGCCAGCCTGTTTTTGGCTCTCTGTATATATCTATCCAGAGTTCCTTTTTTTTTTTTTTAATGGAATGTTGGACTCTTGTGGGTATATTTTCTCTGCTGCACGGTTGAATAGAAAACATTTAGATGGGCGTTACAGACATCTGCCCAGTTGCCCCACCAGCTTTTATCTGTGAGTAAGGATGTGTGTTGGGTAGGGATTGCCCCTAGTTGTACTGAAAAGAGGGAAGGAGTTTTTGGGGAGATGGGAGATGAGCACATTTGTGAGGCACAGCTGTGAGCCAGCTGTTCTGTCGGCGCTTTGAAGCAGTGGAACATACGCATCGGGTTTTCTGCTGCTTTGCCTGAAGCTGCCAATTTTATTCCTGCAGGTTTTGGACCACACATGTTCCACGCCATGGGGCCCCCACCTCCCTTCATGAGAGCCCCAGGCCCCATCCACTACCCATCCCAGGACCCCCAGAGGATGGGTGCCCACGCGGGAAAGCACAGCAGCCCCTAGCACGTCCTGCCACCCTCATCCCTGAAGTAAATGTTATTTTCTAGTTACCATGGTAGCACCATATATTGAGCTGTGGGTGAGCTAGAGACGCCTCATTCCCCTGCTTGCAGCCACAGGGCAAGCTGAGCTCCGTGTCTCCACTAGCTAATCGGATTGTTGGTATGTCCCAGGTCTTTCTTTAAGTGTTGGGGGGGGTGGGGGACAGACAGGGGTGCTGTCTGTGGGTCTGGGGTACCAGAATTACAGTGCTATCTGTGTATCCCATTGGCACACTTTTGAAATAAACTTCTGGAAAAACAAAACCAAACCCTTTTCAAGCCCGTTTTATGTCCTTAGTCTGAACATTATGGACGGTTTAAATGTAATCAGAGACTCTTCTCTGTCAGGTAGCTAATGATGTGCTGATCTAATGAGGTGTTAAACCAGGACTGAATAAGAGCTGAAAAACAAACTCATCAGATGATGTTGTTGCCACAGGCAAACCCATGGCTTTGCCTTACACAGAGTTTTCCTCCCTCCTTTTTCCTGACTTCTGGCTTTGAAAAAAAAGACAAGAAAACAAAACCTTTTTTGATGCATCACTTCTAATCCTACACGTCCTGAGCGAGACAAGCACTGGGTCAGCTGAGCAGCCCCCGGGCAGTGCAGGCATGACGTGGAGTGACAGGTCAGCAGTTGCCCAATTTAGCCAGGTGACGGCCCCCTCAGTGGCCTCACAGGCTGGGCTGTGTTGCTGACAGCTGCAGGGGAGGACACTGTGCAGCCACAGCTGCTCTGGGGGAGATTTGGGGGTTTTGAGGCCCTTGGTGCAGTGTCTTAAGCTGTGAGAAGGGTCCCACTTCATCCTGCTTTGATAAGACGTGAAACTTTTCCTTCTGTGCTCCCACTGTAGTGCTTGGCCAGGAGTGACTGCATCCTGCATGGAGCCTGCTGCTGAGTAAGGTCTGTGTACATGTGGCTGGAGGATTTTAGATTTATCTGTGTGTCAGCTCCTTTTGTGCAGTGGATCTGTGGACATCTTTCTGTAAAGCAAAACATGATGGGGCTTGTTCTGAGGCTTCGTTTGCTTGTTTCAAAAAAAGCACATTAAAATATTTGAATTTTTCACCACTGTGCTTAGACCCTGCTTCCTGGAGTGCAATGTCTGGGGACTTTTGTCTGATTTTTATGTGGCTGCTGCCACAGCCAAGATGCAGTGTGGGCAAGGACAGCATGTCTGCTTTTGGTTTCATGTGCTGTCCTTTGTGGTGACTCTGGGTCCCATGATAGACTGCCAGGCTGTTGGAGGGGGTGTAGCACTTGTGCACCATGGACTGGCTTTCTCTGGAGAAAACTGGGCTTTGGGCATGGGTGATTAGTTCAGCTTTTGTCAGGGAAGAGCCATTTCAGGGCAGTGTTGGGCAGCAGAGGCTGCTGGTGGATGGGAAAGGGCTGTGGCTTTTGCCACTGCTCTGGCCCCAAGACTCCGCAGCCAGGGCCTGTGAGTGCTGTGCAGACACATCTCAAATGCAAGAGGCTTTACATCATCACTATTTATTTATTATTTCCAGTTCCCTGAGGTTACATGGCTTCTGCAGATGATGGACAAAGAGGAGAGAGATGGAACTGGAACAGGGCAGCAGTTGAGCATCACAGATACCCAGATCAATAGGCTGTTGTTAGCTGCAGGTCCCACTGTGTGTCACTGCTGAAAACGGTGTAATTGGATCCTCACTGCTGATTTTCACATTCCCAGAGAAGCCTATGCTCTCTAGAGTCATGATCACACTGCTTTTCCTTCCCTGTGGAACACCCTGGCAGGATCCTCAGACTGGTGTGGGTCCAGGCAGGACCTGATCCTTGTTAACCAACTACATGAAGCAAATCTGGCGTAAGTCACTCAGGGCTTAGATGTTCAAGCAAGGCATGCAAATAGCAGTAGAAAGGGGAAAATAACAGCTGCCAAGTGCTAGCCAGTGGAAAATACAGCACAATTTTCCAACTCCCATTGTTCCTCTCCCATCTATCCTGGTTGTGCTGTGTTGGTAAACAGGCAGATTCCCAGTTCCTCATTTGTTTTGTTGTCCAGCCAAGCCCAAAGTAGCTGCTTTTAACATGCCAATGCCTCCAGTAACTTGTTTTGCTGCTGCTCTTCCATTATCACCTCCTCTCGCCATCCTGACTGGAATGACAGATGCAGAGTTGTCCTGAAGATGGAATTTCTCTGCAAAAGCAGCAGCTGTCAAAGCAGGTCTCTTGTATCGGTGAAGACGCAGGGCGGGAGTTTGGTGTGTTGCAGCTGGTGGTGCTGTTTTCCACAAGGCAGGGCAGAGGACAGGCTGTATGGGGTGTTTTGTATGGGAGCTTGTGGGGATCTGCTTGATTAACAGCAAGAACTTGGCTGGCTGGCTTGGCACTCACTGCCCTTGTGACCAGGGCTGCTGCAAGGGGAATTCAGAATGGTCCCAGACTCGAGCTCGGTCAAACCCCATCTGAAGATGACAACCCGAGACCACTGGCTGAGCTTCCACGAGGGATACCTGCCCCCTCTCCCCCACCCTGCAAAGTGTGTCCGAGTCTAGCGAGGAAACCATCCGTGGTGGTGGGGAAGGAACAGCTACAGCTCTTCGCTCTCTGGCAGGATCCGCACCCAGCCTTGTGCCACGCGGTTGAAGTTGGGCCTGTGGGAAATCACCTCCAGCGCACTCAGGTTGTCCAGCTCTGCGGTGGGCACAGAGAACAGCTCCCCAACCACCGCCCTGTCAAATGGGGCTGGGGTCCTGTGGCACAAGAAGCAGACTTAGTCACAAGGGCATGCTGTGGAGGTGATAGAAAAAGTAGGTCTGGATTTACTAACTCTGAGCCCAGCACAGCCTAGCAATGTCTGTGGCAAATGACAACTCTCCTCCTTCTCCCCAGGACACTGTTAGAGCCCCTGCCAGCCCAGCAAGGTGCTTCTTTGGTGCAGAGCCCACCTCAAGCTTTGGCAAGACTAGAGAGTGAGGGTCGGTGCCTGAGTGTGAATGGAAGTGTTCTGCACGTGGAAGGGCTTAGGTTCAGAGAGCAGTGACAAACCCCCTGGTCGTCTCAATGTGTTCGGCAGAGGGCCGAGGCCGATGGCTGCTCCAGATCCCTACAGCACATGTGCAGGCAAATGTGTCTCTCTTGGCCCTGGCTCCATCCTGCCTTTTGGGACGGCTTCTCGTGAACTATGACTAACAGGAGGAGCAGTGCGGGGGCAAGAGCTGTCATCCCTTTCTGGAGAAATGTGGAAAGGGACTGGGGAGGATTGTGCCAGCCCCCAAAAAGCCAAGAATGTTGGTTTTGGAGCAGCACATGGAGGCTGAGCTATCAGTGAGGCAAAGCTGGGAATGTTTGCTTTGGGAAGCACTGCTAGAACACGAGTAACGTGGCAGTGTTTTGCAACAGAGGAGAAATAAGAGGGGGAAAGGTAAAGTAGAGAGATTTGTTCTAGGAACTTTCTCTCTTCTGGGAAAAGATAGTCTTTGTCAAAGGTTGGTTTTCACTCTCTCTTAAGGCAGCAAGGTGGCCCCAGGTCTTTGCATCACAGCCTGAATGTTTAAAATTGGGAATAAATCAGTCTTTAACACAGTTGCTGTTGAATTGGTGGACTTGCCCTTGCCTTGTGACCCATGTGAGCTGGGATTCAACCAGCCTTAGGCAAGACCACTGGCTTTTTGATAGCCAATCTCTTCCAAAAGGCTTGTTTTTCTGTGGTTTGGTATTTGAACTGAGAAGTGATTTAAAAGCCAACAGCTTGGAAGATCATGAAAAGCCCAGTTAAAAGCAGATTGGCTCTCTGAATCTTCCTGCCTCGGTGAAGAATTAGAGGAGGTGGCGAGAGGCTTGGAGTTAAATTAGCATCCATCTGTATTAAATTACAGTTGAAGACTTTAAATAGAAAGGCAGCGTGTGAGAGAGGAGAAATGGTGCAGGGTAAAGCACTATTCAGAAACATGCCCTTGCTTCAGTCCCTGTCCATAAATAAATCCCAAGGCAGGAACATGGCTAAAGGTTGAAATAAAAGAGCCAAGTGTCTGCAGCAGCTTTATGTTCTCCCCCTGCAGCACCTCCTCGGCTGTAACTCCTCAAGGAGAGCCACATGGCAAAGCCCCAGGGCTGAGGGGGAGGAGAGCAGCCTGGTGGCCAGGCTGATCTCTGGCTTTTGGGATGCCATTCCCATGTGGAGGGGTTGTGGCTCCCCACAGCCCCTTCTACCAGGTGCTCAAAGCACAGCAGTCGTGTGTCCCATGACCCAAATCCAGCCCTGGTGTGGGCACAGCAGAGCTGCCCCCAGCACTGTGCCCATGGTCTGACAGGGAGCAGTGCCGTGTCCTACTGGGGAGCTCCAGTGGGAACTTGGCCAGGCCACCAAGGCCCAAGTGATTCCATCCTCATGACAGAGGCTTTCAGCAAGGAGGACAGCCAGGACCTTGTTTTACAGATTCCCTGGGACGATGTTCAGCTTAAAAGTTCAGTTGTCATTATTCTACCATGGGCTGCTGGTGCTTTGCTACCACCAGATCTCCATTTCCTGGATCCCCACCGAGCACCTTTCCAGAAAGGAAATCTTCCTTGGCTGTCTCTGCTCCTGCCTTGACCCCAATGTATTTTGGAGGTGTGAGGAGGCACCAGCTATGCTCCATCAGAAGCAGCCACAGGGAATGGAGCTTGCCAGGCTGAGCCACTAGAAATCCCCTGGCCTGAGGCTTCAATCCCAAGCAGGTGTTTGGAAGGAATCTGATGACTTCTTTTAGCACTTTGTGGGATGATTAACCTTATACCCCCACCACTTCCAGCAGCTGCTTGGATACCTTAAGGAAATTAGGAGAGAGACTTGGCACTGTCTGTGTCATTCCTCCACCCAGCCCAGAGCTGAGCCCAGCTGGGAGCAGGAGTGATTCCTTCTCCAGGACCATGTACATGAGAATTAGTCCTCACAAATTTCATCCCTGAGGTTAGCCGGTGAGATCAGACTGCTTAAGGCTGTGCAAACCCAGTGGTGGAGCTGAGAGGAGATCTGGGGAGCTGCTGGAGGCAGGGACCTTTGCAGGGAGCCACAGAGGAGCTCCTGAGCAGGAAAAGAGCATCCTGAGCCCTTGCTGTGCCCCTGTGGTGTATAGAGAGAGCACGGACCACTGTGTTCCCTCACAGGATATTGGATGCTTCTCAAGGCTGAAGGGCTTGAAGGGCTGGCCAGGTTGGTGGTGCCTGCCTGTTACCTGTTGAAGCTCCTGAAGTCCCACGCAGGGGGTCTCATGGGTGGCTGGTTCTTGCCAAACACAGCATCAGCACTGTCACCAAAGAGCTCCTGCCACGGGCACCGGTAGCCCTTGGGGATGGCGGTGACGTTGAACTTCTCCGGGGGGATTTCTTTGAGGGGGCTCGAGTACCCTGCGCAGGGGGAGAGACAGCGTGGGCTACTGGGGCTGGGAATAGCCTGGCATTTGCATGGCCATAGAGGACCTGCTGCTGGGGCCAGGACTGCATATCTATAACATAAATATATATTTATATATCTGTATATGTACAAACTCTGGGGGAGGGTTTGGGGCAGAACCCTCGGCAGGCAGCAGCTCGCTGCCTCCAGCCCCCACACTGCTGAGATCACTGCGGTGTTGGGTTTGGGGTGCAGGCAAGGATTTATTTACCTGGGGCCAGGGCACTGGGGTTCAGGACTTTGCTCATATGCAAGACTTTCTCTGTCTTCTTGGGCACTTCTGGGGGGCCACCCTGGGGCGATGCTGCCACGTGGAGCTCAGAGTGATAATTCTGCTGGCCCTCAGCGTTCTCCTCTGCCTGTGGGGGGGGAGAGTCAACAGGCAAGGGGCACTTCCCCTGCCCCCACTGGGACTTTGGAGGTGGTTGAAAGCACCTCAAAGTTCCCTCTATCTACTCACCATCCCTTCATTCGCTGGATCGCCTTTCTCAGTGTGGTGTGAGCCCCCTGGCCCTGGGAGCTGCAGGAGGTAAGGAGAAGGGTTAGTGAGTGGATATTGAACTTCTTGTTTGCCCATCTCCATGCCCAGCCCACCAAACCATCTCTCCTCTCACTTCATCTCAGCGTAGCAGCCGACTGTGGCTGCCCTGTGCAGAGACTCCCGGCCCCACCAGGAATTGTTTCCCTGGAAAGGCTGCAAGAGCTGGGGAAGTGCTGTCTCAGACCCACCTCCCTGTAGCCACTGGGATGCTCAAAAATGAAGCGCTGCATCCGCCTCTGGCGCTGCTGGAAGAGCTGGGAGCCGCGGTTATTCCGCAGGGAGAGTTCCTCGATCATCAGGTCCTGCGTTGTGCTCATCTTCTTGCCCAAGTCCAGACGGGGCTCTGAGGAGGCCAGGAGAGAGCACAGTCACAGCTGAGGGTGCTGCAGTGCTGGGGAGCCCCAAGCCCAGCACAGACAGTGTGTCCCCTCGTCAGGGTCCCCATTGCATGGCTTAGCTGTGTCAGAGACTGGTGTTTCCTCAGTGTGAGGAATTATCAGGGAATTAGCTCAGCTCCAGAGGCTCAAACAGCCTCACTTGCCCCATGCATGGGTCAGTGGCCTCAACCAGGGCTGGGTCTGGCCCCTAAGCAGGGAGGGCAGCACTGCCCTGGGGCTGGTGGCACCCCTGCACCCCCTTACCATCTGCAGGACCCGGTCTCATGATGGTCATCACTTGCTGCTGTGCTTCTGGGGCAGCTCTGTGGCAGGGGGATGGATTCTGCCTGGCTGGAAGAGAGAGGCACCCCCAGAGTGACACCAAGCATGGGGACGTGTCAGCCCCAGGCATGCCACAGAGATGCCAGGTTTCAGCTGAGCATCATCCCTGTCAAGCTTCATCCCTGAGCGTGTCCCCTCAACAGCATCATCCCTGAGCATCATCCTTAAGTATCTCCCTACACCGCTCTCCATTCCCTTCAACAGACATAGGAAATGTTCAAAGCATGTTGCCCCTCAGCCCCTGCCTGTCATCTTTCCTTTCTGCCTTTCTTTAGGGCAGAAAGTATCCTCAGCTCTATCCTTGCCCACAGTGAGCCAGTGTCCCTGTGCCCTGAGTGCCCTCGGAGCAGCACCTGCTTCCACAGCCTGCGGGGCCAGGGGGGCCCTGGCTGCCCCCCCACAACAACTCCGCCTTAGCAGAGCTATTTTCAGCTGCTGGCCCCAAGGGTGCAGGAGCTGCAACCCTGACCCTGCAGGGAGCTGGTGAGCCCAGCCAGTGGCGAAGAAGGGCACGGGACTACCAGGCTGGGTTGCTCCTTTGTGGAGAGGCAGCTGGAAACCAGCCCTGGTGTCAGCCCCCCAGGCTGCCCACCTGCAGCAGCACAGGGCACTCAGCTCAGTAAATGGGAGCTGTTTGACCCCATTAAGTGCATCTGGTGTCCCTCACCTCAGGCTGATGCTGGGCAGTTTCTCCTAAGGGCCCTGGAGAGCAGAGGGTCCCCATGGGGCTGTGGGTGCCTGGCACACAGCTCCCTGCCAGCCCTGAGCTCAACTTTACCATCCCTACAGCAAGCCTTGGACCTACATCCTATCCTTCCCTCCACCCCACTCCAGGGAGACTGTACCCTGACCCCACAGTCATGATGTCCCCACCACCAAGGCTGGGACGCCCCCAAGCCCTGTGCACCCACCTTCCCACTGCCTCCCATGTGGGGACCTCACCTTCCCTACCTGGTCAGAGGATGCCCCAGATGCTGGGGAGTGAAGATGCTTCTCCCGCTGTGGAGGGTGTTGAGGCCAAAGCCAATCTGCAGCCACCAGTGCTTGGTGGCCCTGGGTGGCCCTTCACAGCAACCCCTGGGCTCCTGCCGCTCGCCCCAACCCGTCCCAGGCTCCAGCCCAGATGCCAAGGTCCAGCCACGGGACAGAAGTTATTTCTGGCTGAGAAAGGGGGCGGAGCAGGGCTGTGACCCTTGGGGACCGGGATGCCGTCACCCCAGCACGGGACAGGTCTGACCCACGGGGATGAGGATGCCATCACCCTGGCGTGAAGCAGGGTTGTGACCCTTGGGGACCAGGACCTGTCACCCCAGCATGGAGCAGGGCTGACCCACGGGGATGGGGATGCTGTCACCCTGGTACAGAGCAGGGCTGACCCCTGGGGACAGGGATGGTGGGCGCGTAGCAGCAGCAGGAGGTGCCCATGTGCCATGTGTTCCCAGGCCACCTCGGGGACAGATCAGAGCTAGGCTGGGTGGGATAAAGGCAGTTTATTTCTGAGCTGGGTATACAGCGGTGTGGTGAAGGCGGGTTATGGTGGCTGGTGGAGTGAGGGTGGGAGATATGTCCTGGAATGGGGGGCTGTGTTCCAGGAAGAACGGACTGCAGGGTGGAGGTACTCCAGGGAACAGGGATGGACTGGCTCCAACAGTGTGTCCTGGGGAATGGGAAGGAGTGACCGGGGCTCCCTGAATGGAAACGTGTCAGAGCTCTGGCAGCCCAAACTCAAACTCTTTTCCAGTGCTGGTCTCATCAAGGTGCGGGGACACCAACTTGTCCCCATGGGGACACTCTCCTGTGCTGACACCTCCTTCAAACCCTCTGCAACATGCACCACTTCCTTCAGCCCCCCACAGCCCCCATCTCTTCCCACCTGCCCTGGCTGCCTCAGAGCCCATCGGTTCCTGTGTGTGCCTCCATCCTGCCAGGGTGAGGATTAGGATGGGGTGAACCTGGGGATGGGGACAGTGACAGGTACAGGATGGGGCTGTACTTCTTTGTTTGGGGAGGACAGGAGGGCACCTATAAACAGTCCCCTTGACGTGGCAATAAATAACTATGGCTCGTTTTGGTCACCAGGGAAGGAAGGATTTGGGAGAATTTCTTTGAGGAGTCTAAAGTAAAAAAAAAGCAATGAAGAACTGGGGAGGTGGAATAAAAAAAATAACTTTTCCTCCCCAGAATCTGGTTTCAGTTGAAACTGGATAGTTCTGGAGGCTGGGAGTGACTGGTCATGGCACACTGCCCATCCCTGCTGGATATGGTAGCTGTGCCACCCCAGCAAAGCAGAGCTGCAGTGATACCCCAGGGTAACACCTGGGAGCTGGGGACAGGGGGCTCACAGGGGACCACCGAGTCCATCCCATCCTGGCTATGTGGGAGGGGGATGGCTGGTGGGCAGGGACTGCTGAGGGAGAGGGCTGGCTCTCCCCACTGCCTGCTCATGCATGCTGATCACGCAGTCCTGCCCAGAAAGGTTAGGGTGGTAAAAATAGAGCAGGGCCACGGGATGGCGGGCGAGCAGGAGGCACCTGACCCTGCTGGCACACCGAGGGACTGCGGCAGCTCTGCAGGGACATTGTTTTTTGGGGACCTCAGCCCCGAGGGTTGGGGTGTTCCCGGTGTGGGGGGTCAGCGGGTGGCATCACCCAGGCTGACAGGTCCAGGAAGGGGGTGGTTTGGCTGGGGCTGGCTCATCTAGGAGGTGCAAGGGGCCCCCGAGGGCAGACCCCCCGTCTTCAGCCGCAGGCTGCCTGTCCAGCCCCGGGGACAGAGGTTGAAGCTGTGGATTCCCGGGCTCTTGGTCCCCGAGTCTTCGGAGTCGAGGGAGACGTCCGAGTCTGTCGGGGACCGGGAGGTGCAGCGCTTGGCTGGGCATCGCCCGCCCACCACGGGGGATGGCAGGGGGCTCTTGGGGATGGGGGACAGCCTGGGGACGGGGCAGGAGGACGTGCTGGGTGGCAGCAGGAGCCGGCGACCCTCTGCCCAGGCGGCTCGGGGCATGCCGGGGGAGGCACAGAACTGGGGGCTGCCTGGCCGGGGCGATCGCAAGGGGCTTTTGTGGGTGGGCGAGGGGCTGCCCAGGCTCCCCAGCAAGCTGCTGGCAGCCTGCAGTGCCGGCGCTCTGGGCCCCAGCCGAGGGGACTGGGGCAGGCTGGGGGGACCGGCGGAGATGGGGGTGAAGGGCCGGGAGCCCTCCAGCCCCACGGCTTTGGGAGAGGAGCTCTTCCTGCGGGCAGCGTTGATGATGTTCCTGGCGAGCCGCGCTTGCATCTGCCGGCTGGCCCGGGGGTCCGCGTCCTGCCGCAGCGGGGACAGGGACCTCTCGCTCCATGGAGGTGACATGGGAGGCCCCTCATCCAGTTCGGGCACCGAGGCCGGGCTGGCCCAGCCGTCCAGGCTGCCCGGGCGCCGCGCCAGCCGGGGCGTCCAGGTGGGCGATGCAGGGAGGGATGACCGCCTGTCCTGGAGAGGGACAGAGAGCGGGTTAGTGACCCCCACTCGGGGAGACGAAGGGACAGAGCAGGGGGACAGCGACAGGAGGGGTGCCAGGGTAAGAGTCATGCTGGCTCAGCCCTACAGGAGCTGGGGATGCCTCCTCGTGCATGGCACCCCTGCAAGGGCTCCCCCAAACGCATTTGACTCTTCGCCTCCTTGCCTGTCAAGGAGGTCGGGGCAGGCTGAGCCTGCTATTAATCCTCCTTGCCCAAAATACGTCCCAGGCCCTCTCACTACCTGCAGCTTCCTAAAGCCTCCCTCTGGGGATGCTCGGAGACCCCAGGTGTCCATTGCCCGGCACTGCTCCCCAGACAGCAGAAAAGAGAAGAGTCAGGTGTGACAGCGCAGAGAGTGTATTCAGAAAGAGGGGGAAAAAAGAAAAATGCAGGAGAAATAAAAGCACAGTCAAAAGGTAACTTGGCACCGTGGGGAGAGTGATGGGAGTGAGGGATGGGCAGAAGCACGGCTGGGCCACGAGCCCCAGGCAGCTCTACCCTCACCACCCTCCTCATCCCAGCACATCCTTGCTTCCAGCCATGCCACACAGCATCGCCCACCCCAGCTCCAGCACTGAGCCCAGGGAGGGACTGGCACTCCACAGTGTCCCTTGTCCTGGCACCACAGGACTTTACTGTTCCCGAGGGATGCAGCTCTTCCTCCACAGTGAGGAAGCAAATGAGGACAGATCCTGAAGGAGCAGCAGAAGAACCAGGAGCAGGCACAGTGAGGTGGAAAGGTGGGGTGTCCCCTCCAGGTTTGCTTTGGTAGGAGGCCGAGAGGAGCCGCAGGACAGAGGGGATGCAGATGAGCAGGCAGAGCTCTGAGCGCTGGAAAGGAGGGAGGTGAGGAAAGGAGGGAGCCAGAGGTGCGATGCTCTGTACAGTTTCCAGATGAGAGAAGAGAGAAAGCACCGTCAGCCCCCTGGCAGCACAGGCAGGCTCCTGATGGCTGTTTGGGATCCTGTGGGCTCTATGCCCCAACTCCTGCTGCCTCCCCGGGGCTCCTCAGCTCCCATTTCACTGGGGGCTCAGCAGTGCCTGCCACCCACTATCCCAGCACTGCAGCCTCCCAGCCACTTCTTTCTTCTATTTCCTTTTCTTTTTACCCCCTTTTTTTTCGGTTGGTTTGGCTTTTGGTGCTCCCATGAGCAGTTAGGGAAGACTCAGCCTACGACCCCCTTGTTTTTCTCTCTGCCACCACTACTTGTAATAAAAAGAAGGTTTCCACACCTGGGGCTCGATGCCGGCATTCCTGGTGGAGTAGGAGGGCCGGGGTGCCTGGAAGCCTGCCTTCCCCCGGGGCGGCAGCAGGCGGCATGGGGAGGCCAGGAGCACCTCAGCCGGGGCTCCGGGACTGGCACGGCTCTCGTGAGTCAGGGGCAGAGCCCCGGCAGTGCCAGGGAAGGGGCTGGAGGTGGTCTGGCCAGCACTGGGCATGACGGGGGGATGCCAAACAGGGGAAGGAGGCAATGGAGAGGTCGGGCAGGAGGCTTGCTGGGGGTAGGGGTAGGCGTCTGGAAGAGAGGGTCTGGGTGGAGGCATCTCCTGGGGCATGGACCTTGATGGCCCCTTAGATGGGGAGAGGATGAAGAGAGAGGACTGGAGCTGGTAGGGTTGGTGCTTGGAGATCTCCAGCTCCTTCTGGGAGACCTCATTCTCCATCAGGTTGTTGCCATACAGAGACGCAGGGGGGGTTTTGGAGGGCCTGGAGGGACTCTTGGAGGGGCGTCTGGAGACCATGGGTGACAGGTAAGCGTTGTTGTCATATTTCCAGGAGGGAGGCAGAGACATGGTGGGCGATGGGCACCGCAGCAGCTCAGGCTGGGAGGGAGCCTCAATGATGAACTTCTCCATCCTGGACTGCCGGCGGGCAAAGAGCTCGGCCCCCTTCCCTCTCGCTTCACTGAGGATGTGGCTGGGCTGTGGCTTCTGCTTGGGCTGGATGGTGGGAGACTTGAGGCAGGAGGACCATGCCGGAGCATCCTCAGCTGGCGGGAGGTGGTGCCCACTCCTGGATGCACTGTTGGGGACAAAGTTGGCAGCTTCAGCCCCAAGGACGAAGGGCTCATCCTCTGCACTGGGCTCTCCCTGATCTTTCTGCTTCTTCCTGCTGTCTGCACTCTGAACCAGGTCCAGCAGGTCAGGATTGGGGCCTAGTTTTGGCTTCTCCACAAAGGTGAACATGGACTTTCTGCTTCCTCTCCGGGCAGCTGACTCCTCCAGGATCCCCGTTTTGGGCAAGGGGTTTGGTCCACTCACCCCACAGCCCAGGAGGGGACCCGGCAGCATCTTCTGCTCCTGAGAGGGGTACAGGGCCGAGTAGGCAGGGGGGGAGCGGACACGGGTGAGCGGTGGGGGGCTGCTGAGGGTCTCCGCATAGGTGGGCGGCGGGGGCAGCTCTGGGGCAGGGGGTTCCTCCGCTGGCTGGCTGCTGGTGGGGGACACCTGGGTGCCGAAGGGTCTGGCTGTCCTGTTCTTCACAGGCTTGGGCTTGGCCAGGGTGAGATGGACCTCGTAGTACTGCCGGCCCTGCACCCCGTTCTGCTGCTGGCCACCTGGGGATGCCATCCCTGTGGCTGTCCCCGCTGGCGCACTGGGCACCTCACTGGGCACCTCACCGGGCACCTCACTGGGCACGTCAATGTTTTTCTCCTCCTCAGTGTGCTGTGGCAGGGCAACAGGTGCCATGCTTAGCCCCGCAGGGGCTCCTGCATCCCCGAGCCCCTCCATCCCTCTCTCCATCCCACTGGCCACCTGCTCCTGCACGCCATTGGTGGTGGCTGATGCCATGTTCTCCTTCAGGTAGACGCTGAGTGGGACCTGCTGGGCTTCAGCAGGTGGCTCCTGGCATGCGGGTGCATTTGCCCGCATCCTCTCTCCCGGGTTGCCGGGCTGGTCAGGCTCCGCCTTCATCCCCTGCCCCTCGCCCTCCTCCATGGCCGCTTGCCGGGGCTGGGGCGCGGGGCTCAGCAGCAGCCCCCCGCCATTCCCAGCCCCCGTGAGCCCGTCGACGCGCTGCCTGCGGCGGTGGAAGAGCAGGACGCCCTTGGAGCTGGGGCCGGGCGCCGTGGTGAGCTGTGCCGCGATCCTCTGGCTCCGCGCCTTCGCCTCCTTCAGCTCCTTCTCCGAGAGGCTGGCGCTGCGGGAGAGACCTGAACAGAAGGGAGAGAGGGGTTAGGAGGGCTCAGTGTGGATGTGGGGTCTCAGCCCTCCCTGCCCAGGACTGGTAGCCCTTCCTCCAGGTATCCTCTGGCGTTCCAACTCCTTTCCTGGCAGCTTGGGGAAGGCAGGAGAGATGCTCTGGGGCTGGGGTGCATGGGGGTGATAGCACAGTTCAGGGGTGGTAGGGACCCAGCCCAGCACCCCACCAGGATGCTGGGACAGATGGGAAAGCCCAAGGGACACATAGGGACACTCAGGACCTTTCCTCCTATCCCACCCCATATTCCATCTGGGCTCTGTGCACCCACCATGGTGACCTTATGGGATTTCTCTGAGGGCTCGGCAGGTCTCTGGTTGCAGATCACATGGCTTTGGCCCTGGCTTGTGGAGGTAGTGGGCAGGGAAGATGCCAGTGTGTGTGTGTCTCCCTCAGACCCTCACCCCAAATCCCGCCATTCTGAGCCCCAAAATAAATCTGAGGTCAGCAGGGAGATGCCAGCCTGCCATGACCTCATGGCAAGGCTGGGGGCCAGTCCATTGGGGGATTGATGCACGGAGCAACACGAGATGGCAGCAGCTGACAGAAGCTGTGCAGATTCTGACCAGCTGGACACAGACACTGACACAGCAAGGAGCCACCCTCCCACCTCAGGACTCAACACAAGTGCTAAAAACAACGTGCTAAAAGCCTGGCACAAACCCCATGGCGAGCAGCCGAGTGCCGCTGGGCTTCTCCTGTGCTGGCCAAAGGTCAGGGCACCAGCCCTTCCCGAAGACTGAGAGGATGTGGAGCTGCCGGGAACACATTTTCTCAGGGTGAGCAATTTCCTACGAGCTCACTCCAAAGTGCCCGTGGGAAGGGCAGTGTCCTCAGACCTGACAAGGCCACTGCTGGGCACGGACTCCAGTGCCGACCATCAGCATCACAGCCACACCCACCAGGGGTGCAGCCCCCCTCCAAAAGCTGCCAGGATGGCTGTGATGGGTGTCCCTGCTCCGGCCTCAGCGGGGAGGTGGGTGGCCAGCCTGCCCCAAGCCCTGCTCCCCTTCCCTTCCCATCCCATCCCTTCCCATCTTCTCTTCCTTCATGTGTTTCTGATTTTCTTGCCTTCTGTGCCGCTTGGGAGCCTTCCAGGATATTTTCAGCAGTGGCTCAGCCTACCAGCGAGGGAAGGGATAGATGACTAAGCCAAATCCTTCCAGCAAGCCCACGGTAAGCAGGAGGGCTCTTAGAAGCTGGGCACCTCTTCTTCCTCCTACCCTCCTACCTCCCTCAACACCCATCAAGTCCCTACACACCGCTAAGGTGTGCAGGATGCCCTGGATGAAGCCTTCAGGCTGCCTGACAGGAGGGTTTTGGCTGGGCACAGGGCAGAGGAGGCGGAGATGCCAGTGGAAACTCTCCCGGAGATGAGGAGCCCGTCCACAGGGGCGATGCCGGTGGCCATCATCCCCCCCGGTTCGCGCCCGGCATTGTTCAACGCCCCGTTTCTGTTTGCTTTGGCGGCGGCGCAGAGCGGGGCCGCGGTTTCCTCCGGCCGGGCTGGCTGGAGGGCAGCCAGCACCGCGGGCCCCGCGCCGCGGGGTCACCCTCGCCGCCTTTATCTCCGAAACGGAGCAGAAATACGGCCAAGGAGCCGTTGAGAAACAAGCCACAGGCTCCAGATGTCTGCGGGTTTCGTGCTCCGAGCTGAGCATCCCCACTCCCTCGGAGGCCAGGGCTGCCTAAGAAGCCGAGCTCTCGGCGGAGCCATTTCGCAGCCTCTCGCTCCTGCTACTGCCTTTTAACAGCAATGGAGGGGCCCAGGGGGATCTCCTCCGTGCTGGAGGGATGACTCAGCTCTTGGCCAGCCCCTCCCTGCTTGGACTAGCTGCTAGATACACTCCCACGTAGCCAGGACCAACACTGAGATTTGTCCCCTGGGATTTTGCCCCCAGGTATCCCCATCCCAGGCATGGGCATCACTCTGGGCCAGGATGTGCTGCAGGGTGGAGTTCCCCACCTGAAATCCTCTATCTAGAATCCATTCCTATCTGTATGCACCCCTCCACTCTTCCAGCAGCCTCTTTGCCCCTGCCCAGCCAGCATCCACCATTCCTGGGCTGGTCCACCCGAGTCCACTGGAAATTAATCCCTCAGGATACTACGAAGGATGCTGGGGTTAAGAATTGCTCTTCACATTCAATTTTTATCACACGGATGGAGAGCACCAAAGCCTCTGGCAGTCTAGAGGAAATTGCAGAGATCTCCCTTCCCTGCTCCAGCCTGAGCTGTGGGATTAGGTTATTCATCCCAGTGTGAGAGCCTTTATCCCTGCTGGAGGGGTCCTGCCACCTGGGGCAGCTCCTGCACCCCTCGCTCCCCTCCCAGCCATGATGTTTCCCATGCTCCTTCCCTACCATCCCCTGCCAGCTGGGAGCCTGGCTGGTTCCTTTCCCCAGCCCCAGGCAGGTGTAAGGGAGCTGAGCTCGCTGAGAATGTCCAGGTGCTGGGGAGGAGGAGGAGGAGGGGTGTGGGGCTGCTGGAGCAGCGTGGGGAGGAGGTGAAAATAAAACTATGTGTGTCCAAGGGCACCGGGGGCTCGTGCAGCACTGGGGTTTCCGCCCATTAACTGGAGTCCAGTCCAAAATCTGAAGCATGACAGGCTCTTCTTGTGCTCTTCCATGCTTCCTTCCTTCCCACTGTACTTGCCATGACACTGTCCTTCAGGATGCAAACATATCCCCCCTCCAAATCTTCCAACACAGTGAGCACCACCAGCCCTCTCCAATTCTTTTTTCCCACACAGGGTCCATGTTTGGTCGCCTGTGGTCCAGGGATGCTGGAGAAGGACACACTCCCTGTGCCCTGCACAGCTGCTGGACTCTTGGCACATGTGAGCACCCCAAGTGCTATTCCAGTTCAACACACATCAATTCCAGCCAGAGGAGCCTATAGATCTCTGTCTATATGTTTATATAGGCACTTGCTCCATAGGTTTTCCATTGCTCCAGGGGTGACTTCCAGAATATCCCCCAAGTGCAGGGCTTAACAGCTTCTTACCAAGCTGTCAGTCATCCTTCCCACAGCACATACTGTGCTCTCTCCCCCAGAGCGAGGATGATGAAGGTGATGAAAGGCATTTTTGTTGCTCTCCCTTCCTGGCCAGATGGGGAAAAAAAATTCCTTCCAGCTCACCTTTCCATGCAAAGGATGGATCCCCCTGAATGGTGCTACTGCAGAATGTCTGAAGTCCACCCAGGAAAGGCAGGAGTCACCATTTGACCCCAAATGAAGGTGAAGATGTATCAGACATAGCTTGTGGCCTATCCTGCCCTGAGATGGACTCCAAGAGCTGGAATGGAATGAGGATTTGGACCCAAATTTCAGGAAGGGGAGATACTCCAGGGCCTGCTGAACTGACAGATTCAGTGGAAGTTGATGACCTCAATGTGGCTGGGATGTCACAGGAAAGAAAACAGTGACTTGGAAGCTGTGCATGGTGAGAAGTCCTTGTATGGAGAAGCCAAGAGGTACCCAAGTCCCAGTGGGACCAGCAGAATATAACAGGCCATGTGAAATCTTGGAGTCACCAGCTGGCAGGTGACTCCAAAGTCTTCACTCTGTCCCTAGCCTGCTCCGAGTTTGGATGCTCAGCCCATCTTGGCCATGCTCAGGGCATCCCACCAGACCACCCACCGGCAGAACACAGATCAGAAACCCCAAACCCTCCTTTGCACAGTACACCACTCACCATCCATAACCAGCAGGTGCTTTCCCCCCTTTTCAAAAGTTCCTTGCCTGCTGTGGGTCAACCCAAATGGTGCATCTTGCCAACAAAATCTCACTGGGAAAACCAGGAGCGAAACCAAGACACACCCCACCTCCAGAGGGACCTGGTGCTGTGTCACCTGCCATGAACCCCAACAAACATTCACAGCCGGGCATTCTGGGGAGGGGAGATCCAGTGTTTTCACCCAAACATTGAGGGCTTTGGACACCGAGGAAATGTAAGCAGGTTTTTTGGCAGAGCAGCCAACTGGCCCTTTGCCCCAGCTACAGCTGTGCAGGATTTTTTGCAATGTGCACCAACTCACACACATTTAAGTCCGAGCACGCACTTCCCTCCAGCTCCCAGAGTTATCCCAAATAATCTACTGCTAGGAAAACACGGTGGGTAGCACAGACAGGCAGTCGAGCTAGCTAGAAACGTATATGATTCAAACATATGGATAAAAAGATGACAATTTTCTGCCTCACTCCCAGCTTCCCACCCTCCTATACCCCAGATATAACACCTCCATGAAGTTTTTACCCACTCTGGCCCTTCAGACCCAAAAAGCTCTGGCTCAGGCAGTGGGTGCCGTGGTGGGACCAACCTTGCCCGCCTGGCAGGACGCTCTGAGCTGGGCCTCTCCTGACAGGCGCCTTTGCCAGAGACAAAATCTGGCACAGAGAGAAAATTCAATGCGCTTGCAAGTTTTCCCTGTGCTCTGTTCACAAGGGCTTTGCTGGATTTGGAGCTGTTTGCCTCCCCATGTTCCCCCCGGCACCCAGCCAGCACCCAAATCCTACTGAAATGGCCCCACAGTCTCCAAGCAGCGAATCCTGGGGCACCCATCTCCCACCCAGGAGGAGGAGAAGAGGGTGGTGGGGTTAAGTTTGAATGGGGGCAGGCTGCCCCTGCCCACCCCCACTTCCTGGAGGGGTGCAGTGAGCAGCCTCAGCCCTGCACGCACCCACACTGGGCAAGAAGAGGCTGTTGCACTGCAAAAGTGGAGGATGCACCTTCTCCTAGCTGGCCAAAAACTAAGCTTTTAGCTTTGGAAAAGGGGGCTGGAGCCAGGCAGACCTCCTCCTGGCTGCCCTGACACCCATCCATCCAGAGTGCAGCAGAGCCAGCCCGTCCTATGGCCAGGTACCCCAGGGCCCCTATCCTGCCTGGGGTCTCAGCCCCACTGTGCCCGCTGGTGCTTGAACTCGCTGTGACCCATTCCAGGCTGCCAGGACCCAGTGACAGCCCCACCAGGCTGGTGCCCCGAACCAGCAGCGCTGGTCTGGCGAGAGAAGGTCAAAAGGCTCGGTGTGTCCCTGTCGGGTGGACAGAGCCGGGAGGGGAGTGGAACGAAACGGGGACTTTGCCTGTCCCTTGCACAATCCGTAAGGGATCCATCCTACTGGCTGCCAAGCCGAGGGACAGACCTCGTGTCCCCAACATGGGTGGCATGGCCAGGGGAGATCATGTCCCCATCGTAGGGGGCAGGGGACATCGCCTGGGAAGACGTCCTGCAGAGCTGGGAGGTGCGACCCTGCCCCAGGGGGACCCCCCACATCCCCCCACATGCCCCCGTGTTTCCTTGCTGTGCCTCCCACGCCCCACATCGGACACCCGGCTGCGGGCAGAGGGAACCGACACCTGCCCCGCTCATTCCTAGAGAGAAACTCTGCTCAGCCCCGGCCGTGTGTGCGCCCCCATCACTCACCCCTCGCCCACCACAGCACCCACGGGGGTTCTGAGCATGTACTCCCGGAACCCCTGTGCACCCCCGGAGCCCTCTGCACCCCCTGCGCGCTGCCATCGCCCGGCACCCCCGGACACCCCCAGATCCCAGCACCCGCGCTGCCCTCCCCTCTGCGCGCCCACCCAACCTCCCCCTCCCCGCCGTCACTTCTGCACTTGCACCCTCCAGCCCCCCCGGCCCCCGCCCGGCGCCCCCCGGTCGCTGCCCCCCAGCCCCCCCAGCCCGACCGTACCCGCGGTGCCGGTGCCGGTGCCGCCGCCCCGCGCAGCCCGACTGCACCGGGGAGGAGGCGGCGGGCAGGAAAGTTGCGGCAGCTCCGCCCTCGGAGCGGGCCCGGGGGGGGCGGCGGGCGGGGGCCGGGGCCGGGGGTTGGCGGGTCTCGCCGTCACTGCCCCTGCCCTTGCCCGCCCCGACCGACCGACCGACCGACCGACCGGACGGGACGGGTCCCCCTCCCCGGCGACACCGGCAACCGTCCCGCCGCCCCCGGTGTCCCTGCTCCGCCGCTTCTCGTCCCGGTTGGGTCTGCCCTGAGCAGCCTGAGCCGGCTGCGGGGTGAGAGCAATCGCGACATCCCCTTCCCATCCGGGGCATCCCCTTACTCATCTCTGTGCATCCCCTTCTCACCCCGGGGCATCCCCTTACTCAGCTCTGTGCATCCCCTTCTCACCCCGGGGCATCCCCTTGTCTCATCCTGAGGCATCCATCTCTCCCAGCCCTGCACATTCCTCTTACCCAGCCCCGAGCATCCTCTTACCCTCTTTTTCCTCCTCCCAGCACTGCTGGGGACCCGCAGCACCTTACGTTTCAGACGCTGTCGGGGACGTGGGGATTTCCCTTCCTGTAGTTTTCCCCAGTGCCTAAAGGTTTGAGGCACTTGGAGACGGGCAAAAATCCAGCACCGGTGTCACTGCCCTGAGGATCTCCTGGGAAGAGCACAGAAAGCCCTCTGCCAGGGGTGGTCTGCTCCGAGTGATGAGGGGACCACAGTCCAGGGCAAGATGATCCCTGGGGAGCCAGCATCACCTCTCCCCTCCAGCACCTCACTGCCAGGCAGCACTGCGGGTGAGACCAGCCTCACCCCCTTCCTGCGCCTGTCCACACTGCAGGATGAGCTCTTGGCCTGATTTTTTGCCTTTCTAATTTCCTTTCTTCCTGCCCCTCTGTGCTTTTTTGTGCTTTTCTGGTTTTTTGAGGGAGCCTGGCGCTGGCTCGGCAGCCCCCAGGGAGCGAAACCTTCCGTTTATTTGCACACCAGACAGAGAAACCAGTCCTGCCTCCTGCATCTCCCAGCCTCTGCCTCTACCCGGGGCTCCTGCGCTCCCCAGCCTGCCCCAAGAGGTGCCAACCAGTCCGGGCCGCCATGCCGGATATTTGGGAGCAGCCAGCCTGGCCTTGGGCTGCTGGATGGGGACCAAAGGGGCACCTGGGACCCGCCTGGGTGGGTCCACAGAGCTCGAGGCGGGGCACCCACTTGGCTCCCAGCTCCCAGGGCCAGCCCTGCATCACTTTGGGTGCAGATGGATGCAGCCTTTTCTCCTGCAGAAGCTGGATTGTTGTGGGAGTTCCTGTACCCCCAGCCAGCTAAGGAGAAGAAGAGCAAATCCCTGACACCTCCCAGGGATGCTCCTGCAAACACCCTGCTGCAGGGACAGCCTCGGACAGCACCTACAAGGGCACCTGCCCTTCTCTCCCTCCTCTGCACTGAACCAAACCTCTCTTTCCCAAACCTGCAGGCTTTCTGCAAGGTCTCGGAGCTGCTCCCAGCGCTCAGGACCCTCAGTGACATCCTGCCTGGAGGCTCTGGAAAGTCTGACGGGTCCCGCAGGCAGTGGCTGGTGGTGATCTCACTTGGAGGGGGAGGAAACGGGACAGACAAACTCTTTCCAACAAACCTGTTGAGTTACTTTAAAATTCCAGGCTGGCAGCAAAAGTGCTGGATGGCGGCGCGGGTTAGGAAAATGCTGAGCCTGGACAGAGTCAGGCCTGACCTTTCCCCACCGCAGATCTGCCATCCCAGAGCAGTGAGAAATGGGAAGACTATTTGGGTCCATCTGGTTTGTGTGCTGAGCCCTGAAACACGATGCTGCTGGGGCAGCCGTGAGCCAAAAGGGCTTGGCTGAGCTTCCCAGCCTGTGTCCCATCCAGGAGCTGCTGGTTTGGAGGATGTCTGACCCTGCAAAAAGGCAGGGGAGGGATTCTGGGCACCGGCTTCCTGTCGAGCATCCCCAGCTGGTCCCACCCCACCCTGGGAGCTGCTTTGGGAAAACCACACTCTGAGCTGAGGAGCAGCATCCAATAACATCATCCCATGGGGACAGGGACACACCTGCCTCAGCACCGTGTGGCAGCTGAGATAACAGCTGGGCAGGAGCAAAATAGAAAGAGGGGTGGAAGCAGTGTTTAAAAATGATCCAAGGCCTGTAAGAGGATGAGTTCTGTGGGAGCATCTCCCACATGGAGGTGGGGAGGTCCAGGCATGGGAGCAGCCACAGTAACCCTAGATATGCGCCTGTATTTGTGTCACCACGTCTGAAGGGACAGTCACGGGTAGAGAGGAATGGCAGGCTGTGACACAGGCTGTGAAGCGAGGCGATGGCAGAGAGCATTGTAGGAACCAACTGGCCTGAAATAAAGCGCTTAATTTTTAAACCAGGGGCTGACAGAAACGGCCCCAAGCCATATGAGGGATGCTTGGCCACCCATAGCTGACAGGGGAGAGGTGTCCCTGTCCCAGGCAGAGCCCCAGGAGCTGGCCCTGACCACCCCCCTCTGGGTATGGTCCCACCAAGCCCCATGGCTGACGTGAAGGCTGGGAATTCCACCCCATTCATGCCTTGCTTTGGAATGGGTTGAGTTCTTAGAGATGCTGGGAACCTGTCTGCTGCCTTCCCACCCCCCTCCCGAGAAAAGCCACAGATTCCTCCTTATTTTTAAGGCCAGAGAGATCATCTCGAGCTAAAATAGTCCCAGCAGCTCTGCTGGGAGCCTGGGACCTCTAACCCAACAGAGGTCCTGCCCTGGGAAGAGTTGGGTGTTCCCAGCAGGAGCACAGCAGTGCCTTTCTGGGTGGGGGACAGTGGCCAAAGGGGATTTCTCTTACCTGATTTCCTTGGCTCAGTGTCAGGGTTGATGAGGACCCGTTGGATCTTTACCACTTTCCACTCCTGGCTGGGGCTGGCTGTGGGGCTGTCTGCTGTGGGAGGCAGCTCTGGGGCAGAGCCAGGGCACTTGCAGGGGGCTGCAGGCTCTTCTGCCGAGGCCAGGCTGCTGCCCTCCAGTGTGGGATGTGGTGCATCCCCATTGAGCTCCCTGGGCTCCCTCGGTTCCCTCTGGAAGCTCCCATTTGACTTGCCTCCCAGGAGTCCAGTCCATCTCTGCTGCTCCCCTGGCTTTGAAGCAGAAATACCTTGGAGCTTACGGCATCTCTGCTCCCCTTTGTTCCCCCTCTCCTGCCAACAGCCAGTGTCTCCCTCGGCCATCCCACAGACACAGGCTGTCTGCTCAGCCTCGCTTGGCACAGGGCAGCCAGGCTGGGGGTGGAGGCAGGACTGCTGGAGACTTGCCCTCAGCATCCTCACCACTTTCCTTCACTGGCACTCCACAGCCTTGCCAACCCACTCCGCATGGCCAGGGGGCTGGATCCTCCCTGTCAGCCCCCCTCAGAGCACGGGTAGTGTCTGACACAGAGGGAGCTGGGCACGAGCTTGGCTTTACTCCTCTTGCAGGCAGGAGGACTAGGCACGATGTCACTGGATCAGGCAACTTTCAGAGACCCAACAGGAGGGATGTGGCCAGGGGACACAGGTCAGCAAGAAGGATTTTGCAGGAATTTCTCTTTTTTTGCAGGCAGAGGACCAGCATCCAAGGACCTGTGTGAAGGGAAGGGGGAGTGTTGAGGATGCTTGTGCACACAGTGATTTCCTATGGCCCCAGACATTGGAGCAGCTCCTGACAACCTCAGCCTGAGCTCCAGCTCCAGCCCTGCTCCCCATGAAGAAGGACTACCTGAGATGCAAAGTCCATTTGGAAAGGCCCCCACCCCAAGTCCACCCCATGCTCATCACCCCAGGTCCCTCATCTATCCCTCCTCACCCTGGGGACAGCATCCAGGGAAGGCAGCCCTGTGCCCAACTCCCTTCCCTTTGGCAGCCCAGAGGTGGCTATGGACACCCTGATGGTGGTGAGTGCTGGGGAACCATTGCAACTCTGGAGCTGGGACCATTCGGGGAAGAACCCAGTCCCTGAGGATGTTTGTCAGGGTTATCAGGAACAAAAAGGAAAAATTTCCAGCATCCAGCTAACAAAACTGGGTTTAACCATTGAGTGACTCATGTGGCATCAGGACAAGAGCAGACAGACCCACTTCCCTCCTGTCGAGCATAAATCCTGCTGGATGACGAACCCACGCACTGACACAGATGAGGTATCAGCTGGGAGAGGGGGATATCATCACTCCCAGGACAGGATATGGGTTACAGCCTACGGAAATTCCTGTGAGTCCTTTGCAGCCGCTCAGCACATCATCACCCAGCCCTGCTCACAGCAAGGCTGGGTCCCAGGGAAGTGCCCTCTGCTGCCTGGAGACCCACAGCGCCCAGGGCACACGGATCGGATCACGATGGATTTCCCAGCCCAACAACCAGCTGGGGAGGAAAAGAGGTTTCTGTCCATCCTAACTCCCTCCCTGAGTTATTGCAAGGTTTTCCAGTGAAATAAGAAAAGGCACCAGGTCAACATTGTAGGTTGAGCTCTGGTAGGAATACAGCCTTCAGCTTCCTCAAGGCTAACACAGCTTCTCTGCAAAACTTCTCCCATCCTTAGCAAGGTTATTTTGGAAAAGAAGGCAGATTTGAAAGCAGGCACTTGGGCATTTCCCAAACACAAGGCTGCATTTTTTGGAGAATGCCCAAAGGAAATCTGCCCTTTCTGAAATCCTTCCTCCTGCCTTGCTCTGCTGCAATTATTCAACACAGATTTGCAAAGAAATCCTGGGGGGAGAATGTCAATGTTTCTCGCTGAAAAAGGAATCTCACCCTGTTCTTTACGTAATTTGGGGGCCCAATAGTTGCAGGAAGCCACCCACATCTTTCCTTAGAAACATGGCAAGTTGTTGGAGCTGGAGGGAGCTGGAGGGAGCTGGCTTATCTCAAATGAGGACAAAGAGAAAGTTGCCAAAAATATCTCCAGCCCAGCCCAGGTCAGCAGAGATCCTCTCGGAGCGGATCTGCATCTCCCCACTCCCATTCCCTCCCCCTATCCCTAAGGAGCAGGTTTCTTGAGCAGCACAACTCAAGCCCATCCTACACAGTAGCTGCTTTGATACTTTGCTGGGGGAACTGGTACCTCCCTGAAAACCATCTTCCAAAGCCGCCCCCTTTCCATTCGGGAGCACTTTCTGCAAATGGGCATATCCTGGGGAGCAACACCCACAGTCCCGGTGTTCCCCAGGCAAACCCCTCCTTGGTGAGACCTGAGTGGTGTTCCCCAAGGACACGCTGCTGGGATGGGGCCACCCACGCCACCAAAATACTGAGTCAAGCATCTGCTGCATCCCTGGGAGCCAGTCTGGGCCCTGCACGGTGGCAGGGAAACAGCAGCAGAGCTTCGGAGAGCAGCCACCCTGCCCCTGGGACAGAGCTCCTGGGCTCTACAAGCAGCACAGAAAGGGAATATTTATGAGTAACGTGGATCTCTAGCAAAAGCTGCTGGGCTGATCCCCTCTGCTGGAATACCGGCTGGGTAGGATGGGTATATATGCCTCGGGTGCACTGGCAAAGATGAGAAGCAGCGCCAGCCATGTCCACAAAACCAGGCTGAGATAGCCCCCATCTACAATTGAAGATTGTAAAGGGGGATGAGGGTCATTTTGGGGACCATTTCAGGGGTGAAGCACCAAAGGATGCCCGCGTTGGGCACCGGTGCCCAGCTCACAGCCCCAAGAGCAGCTGCTCACCGTGCCCCTCTGAGAGGCTCCTCGTGCTTCCTGACAGCAGCAAGTCCCTGTGAGAAGCTGCAAAATTGTGCTAGGGAGGGAATAATAACAAAAAAAAAAAAATCCCCTCTTCAATTCACAAAGTGCTGAAATCTGGCAGCAAGGAGACCTTTTGCTCAGCTTCTCTTCCTGCCCACTCGCTGGCGGGTGATGCACAGCCCCCCCACCTGCCTTTCTCACACCCTGCCACCTCCCCTCCTATTGAAAAAAGGAAAACTAAAGTTAACTTTCCACGTCCCACACAAATATTTTTGGCAGGCGTTGCTGGCATTCAGGCTGCTGAGCCCGGGGGAGACAGGGTCTGCAGAAAGGCTTCGTCTCCATCTGCTCGCAGCACCCGGCTGGGGGACCGCGGTGCCTGGGCTGGTCTGTCCCAGATGCAGCGCAGGGCCAGGAGGTGGCACAGTTGTAGAACAGTGGGGTGCACCTCCAGGACAGCCTTGGGAACTGTGGGTGGCCCAGCCATGGGGTTGCTATTAAGTGGGGGACAGATTTGCCCCCCAACTTGGGCTCTGTCCCAGCTTACCCGTGTTGTTCCCAGGCATATCCCTGCCCCACGCTGGGTTTTCGTCATCATGAGACAAGCCAGGAAGGGGTGTGAAAGCTGTCCCCAGTGCAGCGAGGGCTCTCAGGTTTCCTGGGTCAGGCAGCGGGTCGCTGTCACTCAGGCAGGACGCTGCTGCCCAGACTTGCAGTCCCCAGCTCCAGTCACAAGATCAGCCCTGTCCCTTTCCAAAATAGCCCAGTCGCAATGTACACATCCAGGGAGCTTTGCACCTCCCCTATGCCAGCAGCTGAATGTCCCCTCAGGGGAGCTGGGCACCTTCCTTCCCCACGTGGCACCTTCTCCTCGTGGCACCCACCCTCAGTGGTACCACAGACAAGGAGACTGGGTGGCTGCATCCCCCAGGGGCAACCCCACATCCCTGAGGTTCCTGTTTTTCTGTAAGGGAGCGCTGCCCTCACAGCTGACACCGGAGACACCTCTGGGGTGTAGCCATCACCCAGTGGCATTTGGCTGCCCTGTGAACAGACACTCTCCCATCTGCTGCAATCCAATATCCCTCACAGCTCCCTGGATACCTGGCCAGGATGGCTGGGCTGTGTGCTGAGAGGGAGGCACGGCAAAGCTGCCTGTGGGGTGATCCCCTTGCACAAGGACCCCACCACTAAACCCCAAAGCCCTGCATGGCTGGGACCGGTGTGGTGTCACCCTGTGCCACCCTGATATCCTTCCACAGAACAGCACTGGCACTCCCAGCAGGAAGGGGATGGCAAGAGGAGGGACACGGCAGGGCTGTGCAGGATGGATGGAGGGAAGCCTTCTCCATGGGGGTCCAGTGCCCAGGGAAGGCGCACAAGGAAACTGGGATGGGATGTGGTTGCTTCCCTTGGCATGACGAGACGGACCCTGTCCCTGGAGCGATCCCTGGGAGTGTGGACAAGGATGGCTACATCCTGGCTCCTGCAGGCGAGGCCAGGGTTGGCAGGCACAGCAGCCGTCGGCGTGCTGGGGAAAACAAAAGCCTTTTGCAGCGCTGATTTACTACCTTGACGGAAACCGGGATGGAAAAAACAACATTCCTGAATGCCTGTCCCCGTGCAACCCCTGCGGTCCCCACTGCCCCAGCCTGCCTGTGGGGTCACGGGCTGCCGGTCCCGGCAGGTGGGTGCCCTGTGCCCTTGTTCCCTGCCCACATCTGGTGGGGAGAGGCAGCAGGAGGAGCACCAGGGATGGCACAGGGGCTGAGGGGCATGAGGGGAGTTGTCCTGATTAAGCAGTGAGCAAAGCAAGGGAGGAGGAGGACAGTGGCATCCTGGCCAGCTGGACCATGTCCCCTCCCTGTCCACCCCATGCTGGAAGGAAGGGCTGGATGTGGGCTGATTGTATCCCTCTGCACCCTGCATGGTTCCTCATGCCAGCCTTGGGCTTGTCCCTCCAGGCTTAGGGAGGAGTGGAATTCTCCCTGAGCAGCTCTCCTTTCTGCTCCAAGGCATTGGAGAGGCTAAGAGGGGTCTGGGGAGCAGGATGGGGGGCTGAGGAAGGGGATGGCGGCCCCTTGGAGGGCAGCACAGCGCAGGCTGGGCTGGACTGGGGTGGAATGCATTGTGTACCCCAGCACGGACACTCCAGCCCAGCCCCAGCAGGTGTTTGCCCCTGCTTCACCACCCCCACTCCCACAGGGGTTTTGGTCAGGTTTTGGTGCTCAGCACACCCACTCACTTCCTCAACCACCTCCCAGCCCCAGTCTGGGGGGCTCCAACAAACCCCGATGCTCCACTAGGATTTGCATCCATTGAATATCAGCCTGTGCACTCCAGCCAAGCAACACTTATCCTGCTCTGCTCTCCTGGCTGGGTTCAGAAGTAAATCTACCCCCTCCCATCATCCTTAAGGGGCCCATCTGACGTGGGGGTCCCAACCAGACAATCCTGGGAGCTGCCCGATTGCTGACTGCACAACACAGTCCCACACAGGGCAGGTCC